CAATTCTGATGTCGAAGATTCGATGTTAACTTGGAGAAAGCAGAGACAATGAATGTACTAGCATAATAATATGGACGCATTCTTCAGTATTTCGTGGTCTCTTCTCAGCTGGCTACAAGCTGAACAATACAAAAATATGAGGCTTGATCACGAGCCGACATCAGTTAGAGAACCGTTAGGAGACTAGCAGCGAGTCCTGTACAGCTGTTTCGTCCTAGTTCGGGATTCTTGACGGTGCACGCTAACCAGGTTTCAGATACACGACCTTCCAGTTACGAGGCGAGCTCTTAGATGATCCAGCCACTGTGACCTGACCCAGTGGTGCGTGAATTCCAACTTCTGCCAATTCGAAAAAATGCCGAAGTATTTTCACTGTCAATGACAGTTAACAAACACGATATGGATACCATCGATTCAGTGACTTGGTTATGTATATCGAACAAAATATTCAATTATATTGATTAGTGTTAATCAGTCACAAAATGGGAAACAGTGAGTTATAGGAGTTATGAGTCAACAAGTTCATGTCCACAGATCCAGGTTTCGAAGGTCAACTAATTACAACTTATTCTACAACTTCTTGGCTATAAAAACAGAGAAATGAAAGTTTTATGTAACTAAGGAAATGTAGCGTAAAAATCGAAATGATACAAAATTCAACGATTCTCTAGTATATGTCAAATATGCGCATTTAACTTATCAACATAAATACACAATCAATTAGTAATTACATCTTGATTTAGAATATCCCCGTTCACAAGATCAACGTATAGTTTGGAGGCTGTTGGAATTTACTGGGTTTATAGGACTAACCAAGACTCGAGCCTGACTCACGCAATTTTGTATTAAGTTAAACGCAGTACTTCAGCATGTAATTTCGTGTTTGATAATTGAACTGGGAAAAATTACTTTCACTTGCATAATTATACAATCATTCTACCCTAAAATAATCCTTCTAAGTGGATTTATAACAAAAATTTTTTAGTCCATTATAAATAAGATTTAATTTTGATAAATCACACAGTGTTGTACAATTATATTAACTGAGGATGTTTCGACCACAAATTATTGCTCGTAATCATATCAAGTCACACACAACGTTTCTGCTTCATTTATATACATGAATGTATAAACGAGGCAAAAACGTTGTGTGTTACTTGATATGATTACAAGCAATAGTTTGTGGTCGAAACATACTCAGTAAATACTGATGTACAACACTGAGGGATTTTATCAAAATAAAATCCTGTTCTTATTATCAATAGATATCATTTGTAAACAAACAGATCTATTGCCATTACCGGAGTCAGAGATGAAACGACTACTAATTCTTTGCACAAAAGACATCTAATTTAGATTCAATAACCAATTCTACCGACAAATTGATGGGGTCGCCTCTAGGACCCATTCTAGCAGACATCTTCATGGGCTATCTAGAACAGACGCGACTGAGTGACGCTATCAATGAAACAACATACTACCGTCGATACGTCGATGTTGTTTGTAACGACATGAGTCAGGCATCCGTATTATTTGACCGCCTAAATGAGTTCCACCCAAACATTAAATTCACCATGGAATACGAACACAACGATGAGTTCAATTTCCTGGACCTAAATGTAAAAAGAAGAAACGACGGAACGGTCGAAAAGTCCACCTACAGAAAAGAAACTTGGACCAGACAATACCTTCACTACAACAGCTTCTGCCCTATGAGCTATAAGCGGGGATTAGTAAGGACACTGTGCGACAGGGCCAGGAAGTTATGTTCGCCCAACAAGGTAGAAGAAGAATTAAGCTTTGTTGAAAAATGCCCTAAGGAAAATGGGTATCCAAAAGGATTTATCCTAAAGTACAGCAAAGAAATAGATGAGAAAGACAAGTATGCAACAGTTGAAAAGAAGAAAGTGTTCATTTGCCTCCCATACAAAGGAGAAACAGTACCGCAAAAGATTGAAAAGAGGATGAAAGGAACAATAAAGAGATGCTTCCCTGCAGCCAATCTGGTGACACTATACAGTACTACATGCTCTATAAGCCAATCGAAACTGGATAAGTACCCTGCTGATGTTACCTCCAACTGCATTTATAAATTTACGTGCACCTGCGGCAGCAAGTACATTGGAAGGACAGAAAGAAGGGCTTCTATCCGGTTTTCAGAGCATATTCCGAGAAACTTATGCTTAAAAGAAAGCAGATATTTACAATTCCACTATGGGTAAATTTTTATTTTGATAGAGTCTCACAGTGTTATACAGTAATGTTTACTGATGACGTTTCGAGCACAATTTATTGCTCATAATCATATCAAGGTAATCACACGACTTCCTAAATTCATTTATATAGTTCCATTGTTTTTCGCTTGATTTGATTGGTAGTAATATTTTCCATATTTCGGGTATGAGTGATGATTCATTCCTATTGCATGTGTTGGGTGTAGATTCGATGAACAAAGATTCAGTAATCAACCTCTCTCTCTCCACCTACCTAGATTACTTTTTAGAATTTTAACCCTCTCCCACCCTATTGTGTGGTTGTGTGTTAATGCATGCAGTGCAATGTAGTGCTGAGCTTTTTTCTAAATTACTTATCTTCTCTGGGTCAACCATTCTTACCTTAGCTAAACTCTTATGTTCTGACAATCTGACTACCCCTGACCTACTAGTTTGACCTATGTAGTTGACCTAACTCACAGTCATTGCAGGGTATTTTGTAAATTATATTATTTTGTCTAACTGGGTCCACTGGGTCCTTTAACCTACAGAGCTTGTCCCTGAGTGAGTTTGTAGGTTTAAATGCCACCCTAATTCCTGCTTTATTTAGAATCCTACGTAGGGTTTCAGATGTCCCCTCTTTATGTGGTATAACTGTAGATGACTTATATTCTCTTTTATTTATGTTATTATTACTAGTTTCACAATTCTTTTGGCGTTTTTCAATCTTCCTAATGAATTTTAGAGGATAGTTATTTAAAACCAACGCCTCTTCTATCTGTTTTATTTCATCATTAAGGTCTTTTTTGTGCTACTTAGTGCCATTGCTCGGTTTGTTAAACACTTAACTAAGCCTGCCTTAACAGTTAAAGGATGAGATGATATTCAGACTTTAATTCATCTCATCCTTTAACGTCTCAGACCAAACTTATGCACACAGACAGAGACAGTGTAGTCAATTTCTCACTCCCTTGGTAACCATATCACTTTCATTACACTGATTACTCATACACACTAGTGGGCTCAACTCACTAAGCAAGTTTTCAAATTGATGAACTTTTACCTTGTTGAGTTGCCATGTTGACACTGTTTATTAGATTTTTCTGTCTTCTCTCTCCCCTTTTTCTTTTTTCATAGTTTGATAGTATATAAATTGATGGTAACTTAAACTATAAAAATTTTAATCCTTATATTCCGGATGCGTTCATCTTATAATGTTTTCTCTATTACCTTTCAAACAATGAAGTATGAAATGTTATTATTTATAACCATTGTAATTTCAGGTAGTTTGCAGATGATGAGAACCTGTGAAGTAGAATGATATCATTTTATACTGCAAATCTGGTCTTTCTTTCTCTATCGAAATTTATCAAGGGAACCAAATGTATGAAAATCTTATTCATCATGGAGTTATACTCTACCACAGTGTCCAAGTTTTATACTTATATCAATAAATTCTTTAGCGCTGAATGTATAAGAACTTGAGCATTGTACGATCACATATCAGATGTTTAACTCATAGAACATACAGTAATATATTATTACTTACCGCATAAAGCACAGTATATTATAGGAAATCATTTTAGTAACTTCTAAGACTCATAATTTCTCAACTATTTTGTGTTCTTTGATGTTTGTTGGTCAAAACGATGTCAATGAATCAGGGTCACTTCAAGTTTGATTTTATAGTATCATATAAGTACAATACGGTTTCCTTACTTAACAAAACGCCCTACCAGCATGGAAACAACTTATATAAATGACAAGATAGTGTAACCAAGCTTACTACCATACTTTTAGGACACGCCTCGCACAGTTAAATAACGTATCCCAAAGAAAGAGCTCAGCGACCTATAGCTTTATTGTCACTGTAATAAAAAGTCAGTGTTTGGCCTACTTGTACCCAAAGTTGACTGAGCCGCGCGCCCTATGTCATGATATTGGCAGCGGTGCACACAACACATTCTTCACGATTAGGTCACAGAAAAGTAAATAAACAGCTACTTCATATCATCTGCAACTGCATCTACCAAATGATGTGTATTTCTTGAGCCTTTAAAACATTTCCTTATTGACATGTCAAAAGTTTTACACCTCCAAACAGCCAAGCTACATTAATAAGTCAGTTGTTTACCACTTACTGAATACAATGCATAAAATCAAAACTAAAACTCTCTATAATTGATAATAAAATCTTTGTGTTAAAAGGTTAAGAGAAACGATACAATGCGCAAAACCTGTATTCCTATATACTGTCAGCTAAAGGAATATTAATCGCATAGCGTATTTCGTATTCGGGTTATAGTTATAAACTGTTTATTCGAAATACCTACTTCTGCTTCAAATTTGTTTGATTCGCGAGCCAGTTAACCCTGCATTTTTCACAAAGATAATCAGAAAGTAAACAGTATTTCACAGTTAAACTGGATTGTATTTTTTTCAAAAACATGCAAAATTATGAAACACGGGAATATGAGATTTCTGTAATGCATAGTTTGATTGAGGACTGATAAGAATAGACTTTGTCATCTTTAGCCCACAATCAAATCTATATATGACGTAATAACCTCAACAGTTTAATTAAAATTTTCTAAAGTTCAAGAACAAACAATAATAATAGTAACAATAATAATAATAATTGAGTACATCTGCTTGGATAATGCAAACACAAAAAAACATTAATGAGTTGTTTGATGCTGAAAAATATGACAGACGAATAGCGTGAAGATTAATAACAAAGTAGACATGTTCAGAAAAAGCACCATCAAACGAATCACAAAGCTGTGATTATGCAGTCGCCTCAGCCGCAGGCGCTACTCTAGCAGGTTCAACTGCAGGTTCTGGTACACTCTGAGTATTGGATTTTGAACTCACGTCAGCATCTTCATTTTCCCCAGAGGATGTCTTTTGACCTCGATTAAAAGGCCGTGGATTCCTATTCCTTCTCATAATTGGGCGTTCACGTCCACCATTCGTCCAAAAACCACGTCTTCCGAACCTATTCCCCATATTACGACGTGGTCTAGATTCACTCGTATATGTTTCTGTATTTTCACCTACTTTACTGTTCATCACAAATCCACCTGTACGCAAACGACGTCTTTCACGCCCACGTGTGCGATTTCCTGTATTGTTAGTGTCAACTCGATTGTTCTGAACGTCGTTTTGAGTGCCATTTTCCCTATCTCCAGAATCTCCAGCTTCATTTGAAGCATCTCGAGGTGAGACTGGTGCACGCGGTTGTTTACGAGATGACCTATTTTCTCCATCTCTGAAAATAGTTGATCTTAAAGCATGTTGGTCCTCCAACCCTAGACTTTCAATCACCATATCCAATCTTGAACGAAAACTCACTAGCGCTTCAAGAGGAATACCAATGACATTACGATGGAGTTCAGTAACTTGGGAAATGTGGAGTCGTTTGCCCCACCGAGTATCCCGTAAATCAAAGAAGAACCTCCTTCCGCCAGATGCACTATAAAGTGATCGTACTTCAGGAACTAAATCAACTGAACGGTATCGTGTGACAACGTCAGCTGCAAAACAAAAATATAGAGAAAATGGGATATAAGCAGATAGTAATCACAATATCTGAACAATACCATTGAAGATATTAACTCAGATAGCAGAAAACACTACTGATCGTTTTATACTGCTTCGCTAACACAGCTTTAGTTGTAACATAAAAGCTAGGTATGCAGTTTATTCATTTTAATGGTAAATACGTTAAATACACTGATGTATTTCGTAAGGTCCATATAACTCCCACGATGTAAATATTCCAAAATACTACCGGCGGCAAGTTTGAAATAATGTAAATATTTAAAGTATGGGTGATGTGATCAAGTTTGAAAAATTCAAGTGACTAGTAACAATAAATTGTTGAGACATTTACAACTTGTAAAAGCAAATGTGACAGTTAATAATCTTTAAAAAGTTTCTAAATATGGTGCTTTTTAAACTAAATTGTACTCCTATTCATATAAAGTCTCAAAAATGTCACCGAAAGGGAATATTGAATAAATGAGTTCTAGCACTTGAAACCAATAGATTCTTTAAAACAACAGTTTTAAGTCCAGAAATCGACACTATCAACAACTTTGGTGGACGATGTAGACTTTGTCAGAATGAAGTTTGGTCCAGTCACCATCTCATAATCCAAGTTCCGAGAAAATAACCACCATAAAATTGTAAAAATTACTCTGTCACAATTCCATAGATCTAATTTACTGATCTGAATTAAACGTAATCATAGTATGTCAGAATGAAGTTTGGTCCAGTCACCATCTCATAATCCAAGTTCCGAGAAAATAACCACCATAAAATTGTAAAAATTACTCTGTCACAATTCCATAGATCTAATTTACTGATCTGAATTAAACGTAATCATAGTATGTCAGAATGTTAAAAATCCCATAGACTTTAAGTTTATACACAAACCTGGTATAAGGGACTATAGCACATGGTCTGTAAGTTAAAAAGGTTTTACAAATGAGAAAGACTAGACAGTTAGTGTGCAAACATTTATTTGAGTTCAAACTTCTGTAAAATGCCTGTTTCTGAATACTGTTATTTGTCACTGCCTAAACCGAAGTAGTGCCAACATAGTATCAGGCTGACATTAAAACTTGAGAAATGGGAACAGTAGTCACAGATGATTAAAACATATCATGTAAACGTAACGAATCCGCAGCTACTACCTTCAGTAAAAACGTAGACAAACTATTATACAGTCCACCCATTGATCTACATGAACAAAATAATCAACAAACGGTAGTGAGAAAATATGCACCACTATTTTTGTTATTCGGTAGTCTTAGAACGCGTCATCTTCCTTTCTATTCTTTTTCTAAGGATTAGGTTAGTGCCGAAAAAACAATGAAACCTACCATTTCAGATAAAAAAGTCTGATATTATCTTAGCAACTAGATGCCTTTTCGTTTGTTTTTACGTTGCGTTGGAATCCTTATGTAATTTTGATCTTAGCTCGGTTGAAATCATTGGTAATCTTCCAACTTACTTAATTGTTTACTTACGTGACCGTTACAGTTGTTTTTTAAAATATTAAATGCCATTCCAGTTGAAATGTGATTTTTTGGCTTTTAGGAGCCAAAGATAAGCCGCGAGAAAAAAATCCTTCCTAATACTCCAAATAGTTTATTGAATGGTTGTGGAGACGTCCAGAATTTTGACATATGTAACCTTTGATATCCCGGCAAGGTTATCCGGGTAATTTGTGCACCTTTATGTGGCTCAGATCAACATGGAAGATGGAAATCAAAATCCCTCAGGTGTATTCCAAATCGTCTGCACTACAAATAAGTGACTTTCAGACATCTAAGAAACGGTACACTCCTCCATTTAACTTCAAAATTCTCTCACTGATCAGTATAAGACAAGAACACAGTTGCATGCAAATTATATTGCGGGAGTGTATCCAACATGCTCATGAAACCAAAGTGAAGAAGTTATCCTTAAAGTGCATAATAGGCGCCTGAATTAAACTGGCATTTGAAAATACATACTAGTTCAGGACTCTAGACTGAAAACTAACATATGAAAGCCTTTACCATCACAATATCCTGGACATCCACAACAAATATAAAGCACATTGAAAACATGGAGTCTCAAATATCACAGAATATTTATGATGTTGGCTCAAAGTCACGGCGTAAATACTCATATTACCGGCAATAGTTAAGAATAAACACCAACTTCAGACGACCTTGAAACAGCCAATCAGATTCTTCTAGGTGAAAAGTGGCACTTAATTTACAAAGAAGTTTACCCACGATATATGTAATAAAAATGAATCATATAGGGTATATATCTCTAATATGCTGCGAAAACTGGTCCCAGATTCTCACAGGAGTGGTTATAGACATATCAAACCAACGTATTTTCTATTTCTCTAGCTGTATCAGATACTGCTTGCATATACGAAATATATTACCACTTACTGCATGGGGGTGAATAGTTTAGATCAAAATATTACACAAATGACACCAACTGCAGTATTACCAGTGAGCCATGTAGTTAATTCGCAGAAAAACACCAGTAAAAATGAGTTTAAGTTACTTACCAAGGAATGCTGACACCTGAGGCATTAAACTTTCATGTAATTCCAATGTACCACGTGTTTCCCACGGATGTTTTCGTTTACCATTACCACTGGTTGTACTGCCTATACCGCTACTATCTATAGTTTGTTCACCACTTGAAGAAACATTGGTCCGAATTTCCAACGGAGCAGATATCAACCAGCGTCGTTCAGGATCTGCTTGAACTGTCTGTGTTGGCTCTTCCGAACCGGCGGATGGACGCTTAGCTGTTGGATCACGAGCTGTAACTTCCAAGGTACATCCTGTGGCTTCACACACTATCCTTATGGGCTTTAATCGACTAAGCTGAAATACTTTTTGTCGGACCCTGGATGAACGCTTCTTGTTCACAGAAGCTTCTTCAGAGGTAGCCTCTTCACCTGGTGACTTAGTATCACCAGAAGCTTGAGTTGGACTTGCATTCTGTGTAGCTTCTGGAAGTGGTGATGAAGCGCTGGCGATATCACTGTCCTCCGAGCTATCTGACTGCTGCTCTTCTTCAACGACTACACATGTTAGCAAATGTTTCAGCAATGTATTACAAATAGAAACAGGAAGACCAACAGAATATTGTCCCTTGAAATAGTCGCGAACAGTTACCCAAGGTTGAGGCATCGACTTTCCGGCAGCCGCATTTGTGTTACCATTAACTGCAGGTCCTTCTCTGACTTCCAAAAAATACGCTTCATAACGTGGATCAGACCGACGATTACGTACGAACTGTCTTAATAGAGGACGACTGACTTCTGCTAAAGGAACACGAACAGACGGTGGGCGTCTGCGAGGATTTCTTGTTGTTCGTACTGTAGGTGGTCTTACAAACATGTATGGCATAAACGAGATTAGCAATCAGACTTGACAATAAACGCTGACCGGTATCTTCCAGACCAATAACTAAAATGTAATGAGAATAATTAAATCGAATTATTCTGTACCAACAGTAGATTTCTGATCACAGGTTTTGCAGGAATGTATTAACAAATTAACAGTGGAATGTATGTAGGCTAATCGAAGAGCGGTCAACAAAAATCTGGCGCGCTTAAATCCCAGCAACGTATTTTAAAGAATTGATTGTGATTCAAAAGGCATGGTTGTTGTATTTATTCATCGATTGGTATTGACCTACAAACTGTGTTAAAATCTGATTCGCTAAAATTTACTGTAGTATACAGACATGTATTGTGCTACTATAATATTCATTGGTAGGTTGTGTATGTTTGCATTAATATTTTCAGGTACTTCATGTAATAACTTTACACAGAACATCTAGGTGTAAATGTCACTTAACAGAGATGGACTGACATTAAAATGAATGTTTTATCTTAGCAGTGAATAAAATTAGGGCTAAAAAATGTTTCGTTTATCTTTTTCGTTAGCTGTAAGAGATTTCATTGTTAGCTCCGAAATATGCGGGTGAATTTGATAGTCAATTTTTTATTATTGTTTTTTTTCTCTTCAACTTTTACTTTTGGAATTTCAAAACGGCGATTAGTGAAAGAGGAATGCTTATTCCTATAACTTCTTCAGATTCCACACTTATATATCCACAACAGTTAAAGAATAATTTCTTTTTTAAATAACGTCGAGTCATCCATTTATATAAATTCTGATCAGGATTTGACTGAATATTTCCACAAATATCGAATTATCGACATCAAAATTCCAAGAAGCATATGTGAATTTGCTGGCAATAGATTACAGTTCAAAATGTTTGGTAATATGCATAACTATGGTACTAGACTGACCGTCAGATATCATGAATAACAGTAAATATTGCTAGTGCTCATAACTAATGTCCACACTGAATTTTATTCAGGGTTATCTAAATGCTCCCATAATTTATTCAGAACGAGAATAATTGAAATAATTGATTAATATGAGGTGCACAAGAGGTGGCTCTCGTGGCCCAAGTAGTCTAGTGGATAACGCTTTGGTGTTTGAAACTATGAGCAATGGGTTCGAGCCTCGGTGGAAACATCAATCACTGCGGAATGCAGATACATCCAGATGACGAGTCCCAAATAGGACGAAATATGCGTCCTGGATTCCACTGCTAGTCACCATCCACCAATCAACTTCTAAGAATAATTGCACAGAATAGTTGCTTTCATTGAATTTTCCAAACCCCACAATCATAAATACATTAATGTCAATCAGGGAAATGTAAACTAAAATTAGATCAGAAAGTGTATTTAGTACAAGATGGATTATTAGTTAGATTTGATCGTCACTTAACTCCGCATAAAATGTGTAGTCAATAAGAACATGAGGTAATATAGGTCTAAATAATTCAATCATGTCCTTGTGTGTTTATAGTCCTACTGTAGCATTTTCGAGTTTTACCAAAAAAGTTTTGATACAAGGACAAAACTTGGGCACTGTGGTAAAGTATAACTCCATTATGGATTAAATTTATTTGATAAAATCACACTGTTATACAGTGTTATTTCCTAACCAGACTGTTACGAAATAAACAACTTTTTATGCAAGGTCAGTCAGTGGTCCTTGTTTATTAGTCTGTATCTGATGACGAAAGCTCCGCAACTAAACCAACCAGCTCAGAGAACACTCTTAATTGCACGTCTGTATCTGAATCGTTCCAAATGTTAGAATAATAATTTTATTTCCAGACACCAACCAGAATTATATGAACTCGTTCGTTGTCATGAATCTTGTCATATTCGTGGGGTCTGAGGTTGAAACTAAGTTGAATGTTAGATTTCCTGAATTATATTGCTCTTCTGATCTTTCCTGGTCGTTCCATATCCTGTTGATTCCTAGACAGAGATTTCATCTAACGTTCTATGTAGAAAAGTTAAGACAATTTGGTATCACTCTGCCTTCACTTTTACAGTTTGTTGACACTTGCATTCTTCCTATTTTCCTTTATTACTTCCCCTTATTCTTTTCAGAGCTAATTAAAGAAGACTATATTAGCAGCACAGTTCCAAAAATGATGGAAGTGAACAAATTATTCAGTGTTAGAAGACTAACTATTTAGAGTATAATTAGTGTAAGTGCTATGCTCCAACCTCTTGAAATCTCCATCATAGTATGTAGAATTCACTATGTCGTTCGACCTTGTATTTTGTCTCTAGTCTATCCTTGTTTCCATGGCAAATATAAAATCTCCTCCTGTCTAGTCTAACTATACTATTGTAACAGCAGAAGGCAAGACACGGAAGCAAACTCATATTTTGAATTGATCAAACCGGTATATATATATATATATATATATGCTTGGGCTGATAATCTTATCACTGACTTTATTCTTATTTCTCATGTTCCTTATCAATTAGTCATTGTGAATCAGAGAACTAAGAACTACTGAAATCATCATTCTTGGTTAGGTTATTTCTTATGCTTCGCAATTCAAACGATTCATTCATAAAGTATATTACACAATCAACCAGAAGCCTGTGAAGGTACTGGTCAAATACCGATGGAAAGAGTAAAGAACATACAGTCCAAAAGGAGTAGGAATATACTTGGAACGAGTGAAGCTTGGGGAGACTAAAAGAAACTAAATGTTTTCACAGATAACTACTTGGACTTCACAGGTCACAAATTCCTGTTAGAAATTCATCTTGAAAGGAAAACCAAATTCACATGGTTTTAAGTTGAATTACAGTACAAACCACTGAAAACTATAAACAAAAGAATCAGTCATGATGAAATCTTCATGATTAAAAGCAACTAATATTTAACGATGCTGTATTTTACACAGCCGCGGGGGAGTTTCCCAGCTTTATTTGATATCAACAAAAAGGATGTATAAAAATGGCGTAGATTAAAAGTCTTCATAATGAATCAAACGCAAGACTATTTCCTGTGTCACAAGTGACATCTATATCCTTCTTCTATCTAGTAAATCATGTGACTTCTCAAATACTCCACATGTATCTTTAAATAATGTGTGCAGTCAAATGACTGACTCACTTATCACAATGTAGAATTCTGCGCAAAATGCATAAGCCCAGTTTACCACACCTCTCGAAAGCACAATAGAAAAGTAGAGAAAACAAGTACAATGAAAATAAAATGGAAGAAATTTTAAGGGGACAGAATAGTTACATGAAGACTAGAGAAGATTTGAAGAATTTGAAAAATGATAAGTAAATACATTTGTACCATTGTAAACAATCTTGTGGCATGTCACAAAAGAGTTCTCGATGACTCATTCTTGGTATCCTAAGATAGGCAGTTCTTCTCTGTTTTGCTTGACCCAAATGAATAGTCAGTGAATGTATAGGCTGGTACCGTATTTCAGTCTGACCATCTCTAACTCTTCTACAAAGCGGTCTAGATTTGTCCTCTAGAGAGACATCCTACTGGAATGAGTCACACACCTCTCAGCCATATAAATCGATGTACATTCATAAACACACGGAGTAACTCTCGCGTCATTAAGTTTCATTCTTACTCATCATGTTACCAAATCTAAAATGAACAGTTGAAGACATCCTCTGATGTTTGCATCTCTACTACGCAAACAGTCGTTTCGCGTGTTTAAAATATATGTTAGCCAGTAGAAGATAGTTCTCTGATTAAAACTGTGAGAGACATTTACAGGTGTTAGTTCGTTGCTGTATGATTTTTGGACAACCTCGACTTCCACACTTTTAGGATTTAAGATGACTACATCTGTGTTTTGCTTTTAGTAACATATTAGACAGTCTTTTAATTAGAACTTGTTCTTTATTTCGTCGCGACAGAAATTAATTAGTATGTAGAAGAAGATTATGGAAAGGCGTTGAAGAGTCTCATGAACTTTCGCTATTCCGATGGATGTATTCATCTTGGCGGCTTGTGGACGACTGTTAAATAAGATCCAGTTGAGTAACTGTTGATCTCAACATTGTACCTACACAAAAAGCACTACAGAAATCATTCAAAACATCACTTCAGTTGCCAGATTATCAGGTAGTATGGTCTCTTATAGTCTTTTAAACAGTTAAAAGTTTGAAGGATGAGGAATAAGTCTAAGATTAGTCACTATCTAGCCAATCCAATGTAAACCTGATATCATGACTATTCATTGAGAGTTGAAAAACAGCAAAAGAGAACTTGTGACCTCTGTATCATACAGACTGAATGATATATTTTAGCTAATCATTACACAGACTAGTTGAAGAAACAGATGTATGCTGAGCACATTAGTAATGTAAATTTATTTTGTCAATTATTTCAGCAACTCATCTGTTTATTTAAGCTTAGGTAACATAATCTACCATGTAGCTTAATGGTCAGTGTACATTTTTAACTTTTATGTTTATCTCTACACTGCAATAGCTAGTTAATGTATGACTTAAAAGTATCTAGCGTCCAAATTACATCATTGGTTGAAGATATTCCTAAAGCCTGGTTGTCAAAAGTATTGACGAGAAAAAAAAATTAAAACTCAGGGAATATGAGGTGATTTTAATGCTAAACCTGACCTAGTTAGAAAACAAACAAGGTCAGTTGGCCATGCTAGACTGTAAAATAAAACGAAAACAAGATGGTGGGTTAGATACTAGTATTTATAGGAAACCGACACACTCTAATAAATACTTAGAATTTAATTCATCCTATCCAGAATCGGTAAAGATAGGTTTAGTTAAATGTCTGTATAATCGGGCCAAGAATTTTTAATATATTTGTGCGTTGAAGTTTTTGTAGCAATTTGGTTAAGTTTTGGGGGTGGAGTTGCTAGCACCACGCCCCAACCCTCCCTCTTTATCCGGGCTTGGGACCGGCTAGAATACTAGTGATCTAGTAATCTGGGAATATTATCACCAATGATATTCCTAATTGTGGTGGACTGGATTATGCGTCAGACAGTG